AAGAAACTAAAGATGTTTCATTTGCTTGAGTTGAGGTGTACACATTTTCTCCTTATACCTGAATTTATCACGTGTAAGTGGAGATCTGGTAAAATGCAGGTTGCAAAGCAGGAGTTCTTTGCATTTGCAGCAAGACCCTGGAATGCTGGAGTTACTGCTCGAGGATCACACTTGGACGAGCAAGGCCTCCCTTATGCTACTGAGCTAAATATGAAAATACTGTTAGAGAGGTCAATCTGAATATAGATGCTGCACTTATAAATTCATAAATGCCTAAAATGAGTGTATTCAGAGCAGTGATTGCCAGGCAACCCACAGGTAGTAAACCCTGAGTAAATGTGTCTTCATTCCTCTCTTAACCCTCCTCCTGCTTTCCCATTCCCAATAATAATGTTTAAACAGTGATCTGCATGTATGGCTCTCTGGTAGCTTAGCATTTATATTATTGTGAATGACCCCCATGTGTCAAAGAAGCCATTCTGTTTCATGTGCACTCACAAGTAAACTCCAAGGACCTCCAAGTGGCAGCACGCAATGACCATTTCCTGCAACTAGGAAGAGACCCTGAAAGCACAAATCCAATTCACCTTTAAAAAAAAAAATTATGGGGCTGGGAAGGTGGCTCAGTGGTAGAGCACTTGCCTTGCATGCATGAGGCCCTGGGTTTGATTCCTCAGCATCACATAAGCAAAAAGAAAAAAAAAAGCTCGAAGTGGCACTGTGGCTCAAGTGGTAGGAGCACTAGCCTTGAGCTGAAGAGCTGAGGGACAGCGCCCAGGCCCAGAGTTCAGGCCTCACAACTGGACCCCCCTCCAAAAAAAATTATTTTGCCTTTGTCTTTCCCTTCATTTCCCTACCTCTTCTGGCTTCATAAATTACCTCCCTTTTGAGCCCACAAATAACCACTCATAGTGCCCCATCAGATTTGGTGGCATGTTATGGCACCCCCTGGTGGTTCATTGACAATAAAACAAGCTCCACTTCCTAGGGGCATATTTCTCCCTTGAAGGAACATGGAGATAGTACAGCTACTATAGCAGAGAAAGGATACATAGTCTAGAATTAGATCTCCCTGTCTACTTCATGCTCTGCACTGGTAAATATACCTTCTGAGTGTAGGAGAACACTGGGCATATTGATACATGCCTGTATTTGTCTGTGCATGCCACTACTCGGGAGACTGAGGTAAGAGGATCACTTGAGCCCAAGAGTTCAGGGCCATCCTGTGACAACATTGTGAGATACTGTCCCTTTAAAAGTATTTAAAATTGTAAGCTTGGTGTAAACCAAGCCTGTAATCCCAGCACTAGGAGAGACTCAGAGAGGAGGATCTGAAATTCACCTGAGCTATATAATAGGATTCCATTTCAATAAAACCCGAAAACATAGACAGACAGACAGACAGACAGACAGACAGATAGATAGATAGATTTTTTAATTTAAAAATGAGTTTTAGAGGAGGATAAGTTGAGATCTGTATCAGCTTGGCACCCTAGCTTCTTATGCTAATCATCCTATCCTTGATTTATCCCTGGGATTTCCTGGGAAAAGTGCTGTTTATCAATGGATAACTTCAGAAGAATAAATTTAATTTGTCAAATCAGACATGTTTTGTGGTGGTTCATTAGCAGAAGCCCTGCTCTGTTAGCATTCAAGGCAAACTGAAGCCAGTGTCTTCCCCCAAATAAGCTATATAAATAAAAACTGCACTTCTGAGAACCAAGTCAGCATTCTTTTCCAAATTTACTAGAGCTGAGTTCTCAAAAGTACCTTCAGAGGAGTTTTCTAGTTTTGTATATTGTGCATTCACGTGTGCCGGCAGTTTTACATTTGCATTGCTAATGGACCTCTTCTGGAATGTGTTTGACATTTTACTTGGCTTTGAAAGGACTTTTATGCTGGTGCTTTTGCTTCCCAAGAGCTGTCTAGAGCTAATTAACCTATTCCCTCACTGGCTAGGCCTACTATATGCAAATGTTCTCATTTCAGATTCTGACATATCACTCTTGCGTGAGCATCCCTAATGAAATCCTATGAGTGCCAGCAGGGGGCGCACACAACAGTTCTGTGAGTAGATCTCAGCAAAGAATGTTAGGAAAAAGCCCGTGAGATTTTACCAGTCCCCTTTTTCTTTTCTTTTTCCATTAAGTAGTTGTACAAAGGTGATCCAACTTCAAGTACAATGCATCTTGATCAATGTCAACTGATTTCCATCATTACGGTCTTTTTCTAAAGACTGACTCTTGAAATCCAAAGAAAAATAGTCATCATTAGTACTTTTCAACCAGCCAAGGACAACGTTGATGCTTTCGTAGTTTAGTTTTATTTTGCCCTTGTAACTGATTTGTAAGTATTGGATATAAATCATGAGGTGTACTTTTGGTTTTAATTTTGTTTTAATAGAAGGGGCTGTGCAACCAAGTTATTTTGGACCATATGAACCCTAGTTTGGGAAAGTAAATAACTCCTTGGACACAGTGGTAGTTATTCATTTCTTCAGCAATATTTTGTTTTTGTGCCAGAACTGGCACTGGGCTTGCACTCAGGGCCTAGGCGCTGTCTCTCAGATTTTCACTCAAGACTAGCACTCTACCACTTGAACCACAGCTCATCTTCTGGCTCTTTGGTGGTTAGATGGAGATAAGAGACTCATGGACTTCCCAGCCAGGCTGGCTTTGAACCATGATTCTCAGATCTCAGCTTCCTGTGTAGCTAGGAGTATAGGCCTAAGCCACCTATGGCTAGCGAGTAATAATACCATTTAACGTCTTTTTTACTTTATGTTTGTATCCCACTTTTAAAGAGCCTCTTTTATCCTCTTGTCATATGAGAACTCCTATGACTAGGATGTCCTTTGGTATTCAGACACCACATTTCTAAACCTTGGCCTTCCTATATACCTGGTCAAAATCATGAAGAAGGGGCTACCTTTTCTGTTGTCACTTGTCATTTCATTGTATCTGTAGACATTGGAGCCAACCCATCAAGGACCATTACGTCACTCCCATTCCCTTTGCAAGTACCAGGTTGAATCTCTCCTGGAGAGGAGAGATTCGGGATTGGGTAGTGCAGACATGAGGAGTGAAGGAGAAAGTAGGACCAGGCTGCATGAGGCATCTCACTGCTACCGCAGCATCATTGATGACTGAGTGCTAAAGGTGGCTGCTTTCTAGTGTTTGTTTTAAAATCAGATCATGGAAAAGAGAAATGCCAAAAGTGAGGGTCTGCAATTCCCAAAGTCCAGTTTCCATAGCTCATGTCACAAGGCGTTACTCTTGTCTGCACCTGTTGCTCCAGAGAGTGCTCACATTACTGGTGGCTAAGCATGGTTCCTTTTGATCCTGTTGAGTTATGTCTCCTGCCAGGTGGGTACTGCCATACACATGCTGCCTAGATGGCTAGGATTCAGTGGTCACTAACGAATGTGATTGGAGTCCAGAAGCCCTGAGATGGAGGTTCTTAATCCATATGATCTGAAATAAATACAACCAAGTCTGATTTGTTTGAATGTGGTTTCATCTCTGTTAGTGAAGAGTTGGCCCTTTCTAGGGAGAAAGGGATAAGATGGTATGAAGAGAAACTTTTAAGATAAAATGGAAGAAAGGGGGCTGGGAATGTGGCTCAGTGGTAGAGTGCTTGCCTAGCATGCATGAAGCCCTGGGTTCAATTCCTCAGGACCACATATACAGAAAAAGCCAGAAGTGGTGCTGTGGCTCAAGTGGTAGAGTGCTAGCCTTGAGCAAAAGAAGCTCAGAAACAGTGCCCAGATCCTGAGTTCAAGCCCAGGACTGGCAAAAAAAAAAAGGAAGAAAGTAGGAGACAAAACATGTATGGAACCCACACTAAGGAAACTTTCAATACATGAGCCCTACCTACTATATTTGTTAAATAAGGTAGTTGTACAAAATGGTTTCAGTTCAACATATCAGTTCATAAGAATAATGCATCTTGATCAACTTCCTTCATATTGTATTTTTAAGTCTATAACCCAAGGTATTTCTAACCACTCCAGAAATTTCTATTCTGTTACCATCTGAGATGGATGTTCTTGGAGTATTTATACTTGGAATTATTCTGAAATTTGTAGAGAATGGTATTATTATGGACTTCCTCCTCTAAGGTGGGGTATGTCTGTGGGGTGGGGTCAGTGGGAGGAATTCCCATAGGTCCAATATGGCCCCAGAGCTAGCTGTAATATTGGAGTATTGCTGTGATGCTCTTTCTGTTCTTAACTTACTCCTTCCCACAGCATGGTTTTGAAGACAGGATCCAACTGGCCCTTACTGACGTCATTTGAAAGTGTCATTTGATTTATCCCCGTGGGTAAAAAAAAAAGATGATGAGGACAGCTGGATACTGGTGGCTTACACCTGTAATCCTAGCTACTCAGGTAGCTGAGATTTGAGAACCAAGGTTCAAAGCCAGAAAAGTTTATGAGACTTTTATCTTCAAATAACCAGCAAGAAGCCAGAGTGGAACCGTGGCAGAAGTAGTAGAGTGCCATCCTTGAGCAAAATAAGCTAAGGGACAGTACCTAGGTCTTGAGTTCAAGTTCCAGTAATGGCCCATTTTAAAAAAATGAGGATATAGGGTACCACCTATATCTGAAAAAGAATTATGTATCAGGTATCCTCCAAGAGCAAGACAGAGGGACCAAGAAGAGATAGTAAGGGCATCTTAGGGGAATTGTTAACTCCCTAAAAGTTTCTGTACTTTGAAGGCGTGACTTGCTCAGTTTCCTGGTCTGTTCTTCCCAACCTGCTAACTCAGCAGAGTTCATTTTGCCCAGGTGGGGGGCCTTGGAATGCACACTGATTGCAAGGGCTTAGGCAAAATCTTGCCAAGAATGGGGTTCTTTTCCCCCACCAAAGCTGACATTTTTATTTCCTTCTCCTCCCCACCCTTGTCTTCCCTTTCTCTCTTCTCCTTCCTTGTCCCCTCCGGCCTCTGGCCACCCCGGTCCCCCCCCCCTCCCCTTTCCCCCACGGCCCCTTTCTCAGGATCCGGAGCTGCCGCTGGCCCAGTGCGCCCTGGGGGAGATGATTCCTCATGAAGAACCTGGGTCCCCTACAGCCATCCAATGTGACCTTCCGTGTATCAGACTGAAATCCCAGCTCGCGCCACAGTGAAAGCAGCCACCGTGGAGGGGGGACGGCGAAAAATGAAATCCAACCAGGAGCGGAGCAATGAATGCCTGCCTCCCAAGAAGCGCGAGATCCCCGCCACCAGCCGGCCCTCGGAGGAGAAGGTCACCGCCCCGCCCAGCGACAACCACCGGGCGGACGGCCCGGCGGCGGTGGCAGCGGCTGCGTGGCTCCCTGGCCACCCTCCGGGCAGCCGGGGCCCAGGGGGAGGGCGGCACGGGCCGGTGGGGCCTTCCACCGAGCTTGGTTTACAACAGGGAATAGGTTTACACAAAGCACTGTCCACCGGGCTGGACTACTCCCCGCCCAGTGCTCCCAGGTCGGTCCCCTCGGCCACCACGCTGCCCGCGGCCTATCCTCCGCCGCAGTCGGGGACCCCGGTGTCCCCGGTGCAGTACGCCCACCTGCCGCACACTTTCCAGTTCATGGGCTCCTCCCAGTACAGCGGACCCTACGCCGGCTTTCTCCCTTCACAGTTGATCTCCCCCTCGGCCAACCCCATCACCAGTACGGTGGCCACGGCCGGGGGCGCCACCACTCCATCCCAGCGCTCCCAGCTGGAGGCCTATTCCACTCTGCTGGCCAACGTGGGCGGTCTGAGCCAGGCCGCTGGGCACAAGATCGAGCCGCAGCAGCAGCAGCAGCAGCCGCCACCACCGCCGCAGCACCTGGGCAGGACCCCCGGGCTCCTCACCCCGGGGTCCCCTCCGCCCACCCCACAGAACCAGTACGTGCACATCTCCAGCTCTCCGCAGAGCGCCGGGCGCACGGCCTCGCCGCCGGCCATCCCCGTCCACCTGCACGCGCACCAGGCCATGATCCCACACACGCTCACCCTGGGCCCTTCCTCCCAGGTGGTGGTGCAGTACGGCGGCGACCCCAGCGGCCACCACTTCGTCCCCCGTGAGCCCAGCAAGAAAGACGGAGGCGGTGGCGGCAGCAGCAGGCTGCCGCAGGCCAAGGAGGTGTTGAACGGGGAGATGGAGAAGGGCCGGCGGTACGGGGCGCCCGCCTCTGCCGACCTGGGATTGGGCAAGGCGGGCAGCAAATCGCTCCCGCACCCTTACGAGCCCAGGCACGTGGTGGTGCACCCCAGCCCCGCGGACTACAGCAGTCGAGATCCACCCGGGGTCCGCGCGTCCGTCATGGTCCTCCCCAACAGCAGCAGCACGCCCGCATCCGACCTGGAGGCCCAGCAGGCCGCGGCGCATCGCGAGGCCTCCCCGTCCGCCCTCAACGACAAGAGCGGCCTGCACCTCGGGAAGGCCGGCCACCACCACCGGTCCTACGCGTTATCCCCCCACACGGTCATCCAGACCACACACAGTGCTTCAGAGCCTCTCCCCGTGGGACTGCCGGCCACCGCCTTCTACGCGGGCACTCAGCCCCCGGTCATCGGCTACCTGAGCGGCCAGCAGCAGGCGATCACCTACGCAGGCAGCCTGCCCCAGCACCTGGTGATCCCTGGCACCCAGCCCTTGCTCATCCCAGTGGGCAGTCCGGATATGGACACCCCGGGGGCAGCCTCCGCCATCGTCACCACGTCGCCTCAGTTCGTCACCACCGCCCTGCCCAAGAGTGACAACTTTAACCCCGAGGCCCTGGTCACCCAGGCTGCCTACCCAGCCATGGTCCAGGCTCAGATCCACCTACCCGTGGTCCAGTCGGTGGCCTCGCCCGCCGCGGTGCCGCCCACGCTGCCACCCTACTTCATGAAAGGCTCCATCATCCAGCTGGCCAACGGGGAGCTGAAGAAGGTGGAGGACTTGAAGACGGAAGACTTCATCCAGAGCGCGGAGATAAGCAACGAGCTGAAGATCGACTCGAGCACGGTGGAGAGGATCGAGGACAGCCACAGCCCCGGGGTGGCGGTCATACAGTTCGCCGTCGGGGAGCATCGGGCACAGGTAGGCTGTACACGGCTGGCACAGGTAGTGGAGGGGAGGGAGGGAGGCTGTCCCCGCTGGCAAGATGACTTGATTGTTGGTGTGATGCGGGATGAAGTGTGGCCCCCAATGGGGGACATACTTTTTGTCTGCCGTGGGGCTGGAATCTCTGGGCCTGGTCGCTCTCCCTCAGCTTTTTGGTTCAAAGCTAGTTACTCTACCACTTGAGCCACAGCGCCACTTCCGGTTTTCTGGTGGTTTATTGGAGATTAAAGTCTCACAGTCTTTACTGCCCAGGCTGGCTTTGAACCATAATCCTCAGATCTCAGCCCTCTGAGTACCTAAGATTACAGGTGTGCACCACTGGTGCCTGACCCAGACCTTTTCCCAGCCTAGGGTCTCTAGGAAAATCCAGCTCTACTTGTGTTTCCCCATGGCCACCTTTCTAAGGAATGAATCTATGTCTAAACGGGACTGGGTTTCCTCTAGAACTTTTTCCTCTCAGTGTCAGGAGTTGTTTGGTCTTCTCATTGGTGAGATGGAGCCCACCCTTGCACCCACAGAATAAATTGTTGAACTTCAGTAGCCAAATTAAAAATTGGATTGGAAACATTCCAGCAAAGGTTGTCACCATGATACACCCATCTTCTCAAATCTAGGTATAGACTGCCTAAACAGTTGACAACCCACTGGGCCTGAACCATACCTCCTTCCACCCCTGCCCACCATGGCAAGTCCCAGTGTGCACTGCAGGAGTGGTGGAGAGAAGGCCAGGTAGCTGTGGGGGGACAAGTTACTTGGCCTCTTTGATCTGTCCATTCTCTCATCTCTCAAACAGGTTCCATAATCTTTTAGGGGCCCTTCTGGTCTTTTATCCTTTGCTTCTCCATCTTCTAGAACAGATTATAAAATGTATTGGCATCAGCTAATCAAGCAAGAAAGGGGCACTTGGAGAAGTCTTTACTGACCTTTCTTGAGTGATCCTCAGATCTCAGACACTTGAATAGCTAGAATCAGTCTTAAGCCACTAGAGCCTAGAACTTTTTTTTTTTCCCATCCTGGGGCTTGAACTCGGCCTGGGCACTGTCATTGAGCCAACTCTTTGTATTCACGGCTAGTGCTCTACCACTTGAGCCACAGCGCCACTTCCTGCTCTTTTTGAGTAGTTTATTGGAGATAAGAGTCTCACAGACTTTCCTAGCTGGGCTGGCTTCAAACTGTGATCCTCAGAGCTCAGCCTCCTGAGTAGCTAGGATTACAGGCATGAACCACCAGTGCCTGGCTAGCACTGGGACTAAATTTCTAATTGCTATTGTGGGAGATGCCCCAGAGCTCTCTCCAGTGATACTCCAGGTGAGGTGGAGAAAAATGCTTTCACGTGTTTACTCCTGTGTCGGTGGCTTTGCAGTACACAGCATGGCTCTACATTGGCAGAACAATTTGCCTTCCTGTTCTTTCCATGCGAGTTTTTGTTTTGTTTTGTTGGCTTGGGGGAGGGATAATAGGAAAAGTAATAGGAAGGTGTTTCCCCTTGTGGCAAACCCCTTCCTTCCTTTTCAAGTGGAGGGTAAGTAGCACACTCAGAGTTGCTGCCCCCTTTAGGCTGTGGCTCTGGCTGAAAGCCCTAAAGGCTAAAAGATTGTTTCCCTTGGACCTCCTTCCCAAGTAACATTCTCCAGGAACAACTTCATGACTGGAAAGTCCTGGGACTCCCAGGCAATTGGCCTGCCTCAACAGGAGCCAATGGGACTCCAGAAAGAAACAGTGACATCACACCATGGCTTTAGGTCATAAGCAAATTAGCTAAAGGGAAAACACTGGAGCTGAAGCCAAAAAGGACCCAAGTCTGCATGTATCTTTCACTACAGGGCAGCACCCGGACCTAGACTTACATTTACTTAATCCCATGCTTCAATGTAGGATGCAGAGAGAGGTTTGCTTCCAAAAAACTAATCCTAAGACTTCACCCTCTAAAAAGGGATTATAGAAGGAGTGGCAGTCTATTAAAAACTGCTAGGAAGGCTGATCGTTTGCAGGAGGAGCACAATAAAACGCCCCTTGCGTGACCAAGAAACACCACTATCTGCATTTCTGACAAGTGTTTCTGGCAGGAGCTGAAGATGAATGAGGGATGGAGGGATGGCTTGGTGGGTGCCTCTCCAGAACATCCAGTGAGAGCTCATGAGCTCCCCCTGTCTGCAGAGAATTGGATAGCAATATGCCAACCCTGAGAGCCTGGGCTCAAGGCACCCTATCTCCCACAAGCCCTTGTCTTTCCTGTCCTTCTATCTTAAGTTCCTGAGGCTCAGCTTTTCTGAGGACCACGTGTCTGTAAAGGGTTCTGGGCTGACTGTTTCCTTTGGCTGCTGCTTTCCTGAATGTCGAGCTCCACATGATGTTAAGGTCGTCTGTCACCAAGGTGACTGCCTCTTTTATGACTTAATGGCTGCTTAATAGGGCCATGTTCTTCTCCTCGCTGTCATGGCGTGGGCATGATATGTGCGTGTATGGCAAGACAGAATGATGTCCTTACTGTGTGTCTGCCCGTGGCTTTGCTTCCATTCCACTCATTTTGAGTTTGACTGCGGTGGACTGAGTCACTGATAGTAGCTTCTATCTTGAATGGATGAGCTGGGGCCTAAAAATAGCCAAGGCACAAATAAGCCCATCCAGTCCCTCTGCTGCCAAAGCACGCTCACAGGCAGCATTCACCGTGCAAGGCTGGGGGAACATGCATCCTGACCAATCAGAAGTCAGCACCCTGAATGCACACGTGTGCACTGGGGGCTGCACTCCAGTTGTTGGGAATCAACTTCCTATCCGTTCTCACACCAGAGACAATCCCCTAAAGAAGCCAAATCAAACCATGCTTTTGTTCCTGAATCCGTGTACCCTCTGCCCCTCTCATGCACAGAAAACCAGGTCTGCATGCCTGTAATGCCAACTATTTGAAGATCACTTGAGCCCAGGAGTTTGAGACCAATGTGGGCAACACAGAAAAACCCCATCAGGGGGGAAAAAAAGGAAGGTGACCAGATGCTGGTGGGTCATGTCATGTCTGCAGCCAGGTACTGGTAGTTCACATCTGTAATCAGGGTTCAAAGCCAGCCTGGGCAGGGCAGTCCATGAGATTCCTATCTCCAATTAAACACACATACATAGACACACAAGCTGGAAGTGGAGGTATGGATGAAATGGTAGAGCACCAGCCTGAGCAAAGAATGCTAAGGGACGGTACCCAAGCTGTGAATTCAAGCCCCAAGACTGGCACCAGTGTTGTCTTTTTTTAAAAGTAGACTTTCATGTTTAATATCATTTTACATTTATAAAACATTGAACACAAATTAGAGTTCCTGCAGTTTCCTCCATTATGAAAACTGTGGTATAATGTGTGTCCCAATCGATGAGTTAGCACCGCTACATTGTGTTTAACTAAACACCATAATTTAACCTGGTAGGTTTACTCTGTGGTACCTTCTGTGAGTTTTGCTGTTTGGGGGAGGTAGAGCTGAAGTTTGAACTCAGGGTCTCCAGGGCCTGGTACTTGCTAGGCAGGCACTCTACCACTTGAACCTCTCTGCCAGTGCTCTTTGTGTTGTTTATTTTTAAGATATGGTCTCACTTTATGTCTCACCAGCCCAGAACGTGATCCCCCTATTTGTTTCCCCAAGTTGCTGGGATGACAGGTACCCATTACTACCATGCCTAGTCCTGTGCTTTGCCCTTAGCTTTGGATAACAGGTTCACACTGCTGCACCCAGCCACTGGTCAAGATGAAGTCTCTCAAACTTTTTTTCCTGGGCTGGCTTTGAAGTGTGCTCCCTTGATCTCCATCAAGTAGCTCATGTCACAGACTGGAGCCACCACAATTGTGACCACATCTGTGAGTTTTGATAAATGTGTGATTCCTTGCACAACCAGCATTCCACAGTCATCCTGAACCCCGCGACACATACAATCTCATGCCTTAAATCCCTAGCAACCACCAGTCTTTTTTTTTTAACTGCCTAGTTTTTTTGCCTTTTTTCTAGAATGTTAATTGTTGGAGTGACACAGGATGTAGCCTTTTTTTTTTTAGACTGGCTTTTTCACTTAGTATTATGCATTTTAAGTTTCTCTGTCTTTTTCTTTCCATGATACCTTCCTTCTTTTTAATGCTGATTTGTGTGTGTGCATGCACTACTATTTTGGGTGTAAGGGGCTCATGCTCTTACTATGTCTTTTGGTTCAAGGCTGGTTCTCTGCCACACCAACTTTTTGCTGGTTAATTGGAGATAAACATTTGTTAGATTTGTCTGCCCGGGCTAGCTCTGAACCATGAGCCTCAAATCTCAGCCTCCTGAGTAGCTAGCACTATAGGTGTGAGCTGCCGCCACCTGACTAATGCTGGTTGTTCTTTACTGATGTTGTCCTGTAAGGCACATATTTTAAGACCTCTGGACAAGGAGGGCTTTGGGGAGCTGTGTGGGGACTACACTGATGGCTGCCATGGTGGGCAGTGTCCCTCTTGGGGCTAGTCCTAAGCCTGTTAAAGGGACCATCTCCCAAGAAAGCCCTGTGAACCATGTAATGGGGTGTTGATGGTGTGGCAATGTGTGATGGGGTGTGAGCAGAGCCTCCTTTGTAGTTAAGGCATTTGTGTTCAGAGATATGACTGTGCTCGGACGTGGGTTTCCTAAACAACTCTTAAACACTTCCACCGAAGGCTGAGTCACACATAGCATTAACACGATCAAATGTTTTAAATAGAATACTCCCAGATATTCTTACACTCAAAGAGTTGTGACTGCTTTTATTAATGATGTTTAAACACTGAAGTAAATCAATTTTTCCCTGTACACCCCCCTATTCATCACCCCAGGATTTTCTGGTTTGCTCCATGCAGAGAACATAGGCGTGCAAACTGCTTTCCAATGGTTTAAAAAAAAAAAGCAGGTTAGCTTTCCGCTTTCCTCTACAGATATTGCAGAATCAAGAATTTTCATTTGCAGGCAGAGTCAAGAATTCCAAATTTAGTAACT